TTTAGAATAAGTTATAATGTGATATACTCCTCTAACTGTAGTACCACATACAAAATAAACGAAATAATAGTTACATTAAACTGTTATTAATGTACATCTTATGTTGCAACATAAGATGTACATTAATAACAGTTTAATGTAACTATTATTTCGTTTATTTTGTATGTGGTACTACAGTTAGAGGAGTATATCACATTATAACTTATTCTAAAGCAAATTCCTTTTATTTGTAAACCTACTTGGTAATAAAACTGATGCTGATCAAAAGGACTAATGGTTTTAAATTAAATCATATTTGTATAAAGCATAATTGTTCAATTCACATTCATTCTGTCACAAAGCTTTAATTCACACATCATTAATAAAATAGTTTATAAATCCTGTTTTTTTTAGCCGAAGCAATTCATGGTTAGCCATTCTTTCCTGTGTTCCCCAAATGCAGCACTGGTCCCTGGTGAGTTCAGGCACTCACGCCACTCCAAAAACACATCCAACAGGTGAGCTCGTGACTGACTGACTGACTGACTTCGTTGTGTCTCCTAAAGTTAATCCATTGGGAGGACTGAGTTATGATGGAATTGGATCCATCTTTCCACACGGAATTTTAACTGTGATTCAGCGGGAAAAGTGTTCCCGAAGCAATAACGCCAAATTCCCATCTAAAATGTTAGAGCTAAAATAGCACGAGCTTACATTATGTTACATTCCTTTAATGTTGAACGTGTTTATGTCAAACTTGGCCTTGTCTAAAGTTGAAAAACTGACTTCACACCAGTTAGTAGGTCGAAAACATAAGACAGAAATCAATTTTTACGTATAGCCTACTTAATATTTCCCCATTTTTACTTGGCTAAGGTTAGCCATTTAGCTAATTTTAGCTAGTCTTCCGTGGTTAAAATAACTAAGTACATTTACTCAAGTATTGTATTTAATTACTTTTTTGTGCATTTCCACTTAATGCTAGTTTATACTTCTACTCAACATTTCAGAGGCAAATATTGTACTTTTTACTCCATTACATTTATTTTGACACACATGTGCACTACTATCGTAGTACTATCTCTTGATGCTACTTACCATAATAATTTAATTCTGTGAAAAGATAATTCTGGTAACAAGTACTTTTACTTTTGATACTTTTACAAAAGTACATTTAGCTAATAAGTCATGCTCTCCTTTATATAGTTTTGAAATAAGCCATCGTGAAAAAATAATAATATTTGTCTTTAATACTTTTGTAAAGATTAGAAATCAGGGCTTTTACTTGTAATGGAGTATTTTAAGATATTGTATTTGTACTTTTACTTAAGTAAAGGATCTGAGTACTTCTTTCAACAATTATATTCTTCTTTCAGTACGAGTAGAGTAACTATACATTTGTGGTGAATTTGGAAGTTGAAATTACTTGAAGTTAATAAGCTGAATAATGTCAGTATTTCACGTGAGTCAGACTGGTGAAATGTCTTCACTCAAAACAAGGCATGTAAGGTCCATTTTCTATTTAGCGTAACCAGTGGTGGAAAGTAACTAAGTACAGTTACTCAATTAGTGTACTTAAGTTCAAATTTCAGGTACATGTAATTCATTTGATTATTTTCTTACTGTGCCACTTCTTATTTCTATTTCTACATTTATTTTATAGGTTTAGTGACTTTATTGGTGCAGATTTTTACACACAAATTATGAAGAATGGTTGGAATAGCTCATGTAAATTAAACAATCCAACATTCTATTTAAGTACATAAAACAATAAGTCCGAGACGGAAAGGTTTAACAACTGCAAGGTAATTCTTAGGAAACATTTGCAAGATGTTCTGCTTTTTCTGCAATGTGTACTTTTACTCCTCATACTATAGGTACATGTTCCTGGTCATACTTAAATACCATTTTAAATACAGTACTTTACAGTGTAGTATTATTACTTTTACTTAACTAATAGATCTAAATACTTTCCCACCTCCGAGAATAATGTTCCTGTTCAATTTTAAATGTTTTTTAAAGGGGTGCAGCTTTGGAAAATGTAGCATAGCTTAACGATATAACAATTGATAACGAAATAAGCTATATCATTTATTGGATAATGTTTAAAATGACATTGTTTTTTTTCAGAAACAATTATGTCCACAAATAAAGTGGGTTTTGGACCCCCAAAGCTAGAGTCGTGTTGGGCATCAGGGGACGGAGACCACTCAGTTCAAGTGAAGATTGTACAGGTCCCAACCACATGTAAACCCAGCACTGTCATAGCCCCACCTAAAATCATCACCGCCAGCCAAGTCCACCAAACCACCTCCTCCACAGTGCTGACAGCCAGACACACTTCCTCTCCTTCTGTCATGGTGGTATCGAAGGTGACTACCTCAGGAGGAGTGAGTGCTAAAATCCAACCACAGGTAACAAAAGCAGCGTTGAGCCAGGTTGCCTCCATGACCCAGGCCACAACCCAAGGAAGGACGGTGGTTATAACGGTACCCAGGGCAGCGGGTCCTCAGCCAGTCACTGTGGCCCCCCGGATGCCACACACCACCTCCACACAGCTCCCTGCCAATTTCCAGATACCACCAGGTGAGTCGGCCTCTACATGCTTGTGGTCCAAATATTTGCCCTGATTGGTGATGTTCTCTTCTATAATAATCTAACTCATTTTTACAGATTTTAACATATATTTTCCCATCGAAAATACTAATCTCATAGTCTTTAGATTGTCACTGTGTCTCATTTTGGATACTTCCATTAATATACTTCCATGCAGAACACTATGTTCTTGTATAGTGTGTTTGAGAAGGTAGTGTTGTTTTAAATGTCAGAAATGCAAGTGCTAAAGTTTGAATCATTGTTGTTAAACAATTCACTTTCTAACACTCAAGAAAATATGTTTAAATAGAAAGTTTGTTTGGTCAATAATGTACACATACTTATACTTTACCCATCACCCGTTTTTCAGGACAATGGTCAGTTAATTGCAGGTAGTGATTTCAGACCCTCCTTCTGGCAGGTATGATGTTGATCCGCAGCGAGAGTGGTCAGCTGATGCTGGTATCCCAGCAGGCTTTGGCACAGGCCCAGCAGGCACCAAGAGGCGTCGGTGGTCAAGCACCAAAAATACTGGTCCCTCAGGTATTTGGTGTACTGCTGATTTGATTTTATGTGCCTCGAGGCCGATGAAATCCATGGCTCAAAGATTTACGTTTTCCGTGTTGTCCTTTTAACGTCTGTCCCATTCTTTTTGTTTGCAAATCTCAAGAATACCTTGAAGAAATGTGTTAAAATGTCAGGCAGACATGAGTGTAAACTGCAACTTGACTGACTGATGTAGGAATAAAACAGTGAGGCAATCATTATAGTTTGATACTGATGCGGACAAATGACACATCCTCAATTGTGTGGTCTTCACTAGCTGTCAAGTCTGTTATTCAGGTATCTGCAGCAGCTGGAAATAAGAGTAATGAGAAGGTGACGGTGATCAGGCTGACCGCCCCTCCCAGTTTCCAACCAGCTCCAGTCCAGAAGACAGCTATGGTGAAGGTACACTGGCTGCTTTACTCTTACCGTCAATGACAGCAACTCATATATATCTGGTCATGAGTATTTTTACTGCATTTCAACATTACTTGTTACAAATAACAAGAATTATGAGAAAAATTATAATCAACAGCTTGCTTGAAAATATCAGATTTTGTTTTTTTTATTTATATGAGGAACCTCAAGTCTGACTATTGTTTGTAGACTGGGACTTCTAGCGGGACTTATTCCGCTAACTGCGATTTTGGGTAATGTAATAGTGCATATTGTGGAAATTTGATAACATTTAAATAACTTGTGCAGCCCTAGTTGCATCTCCTTTCCAGTCTCGGATTGTTGGCAGGGCTCCCCACAGTACTGGAAGGCTAAACGTTTATTGAGATAAAAAGGTATTTGAGTCCCGTAGGTTTCATTTATGTATTCATCAGATTTTTCTCCATAAATAATCTATACCAGTACAGTAATGTACTTGTAACTGGTGTAAAAATACTTCTATTTAGGGGAACATGGTGCACTTCTACTAATTTCAAATTGAAACCAAAATTACATTTGTCTAAACTTGCAGGTTCATGAGAGTTTTTTATTAAATGCAGGTACCTATATACAGATTACACTGACTCATGTAAAGGCTACCGGTCAGTGTTTACATCCCAGCAAGTTGTATCTCCACTTCTTACCACAACCACTCACAAATGCATAATCTAGCAGTAGATTGATGCCTGTTACCTGAACATTAGTTCATTTGATATTATTCTGTTATTAGTTTTAAGGCGATGGATTGTATTGTTCAGGTGATGGGTGTAGCTCCCAAACCAGCCTTAGTGCAGCCCCTCAGCGCTGTGTCTGAACGGGGGGGCCAGCTCCGTATTCAGACTGTCGTCACAGAAACCAAGAAGGATCCAGAAGGCGCCGTTAGTCAGGTGAGTCTCTGCAGTCCCAACTCTGACCTGCACTTTGCCTTGCACTTGAAACTAATTTAGATCTGAAACTGCAACATCAGGGTCGAGAGTATTTCATGTAGGTTTGTTTGAGGACTTACAGAAAATACTAACAAAAAAAACGTTATTATGATAGCATTTTTCCTTGGTATTATTAGCGGACCTGTTTCCAATACTACCAAAATATTGGTACAATTATTTGATATCATTTCATGATTGTCAATAACAGTTACTGAGGGTTAAAAAAAACTCCTTCGACAGTTCAGCAATGTTGCCTGGAGGATGTGTTGGAAGAAGTACTTTGATCCTTTACTAAAGTAACAGTCAAAAATACTACGGTCTTAAAATACTCCACTACAAGTAAAAGTTCTGATTTTAAAATGTTACTACTTGCAGAGTGGATATTTCACAGTATTTTATTATTATGGTCATTGTATTATCCTGTTTTTATAGATATAAGAGCATTTTAGTATTGTAGTTGTTTAATGTGGACCGAATTTAGATACTTGAAATACTGTGTAGATTAGCAGTACAGTACAGCATAATACCATATCATGTTTTTGTATATGTACAAAGTAGTAACTGTGTTAAAATAAATGTAGTGGAGTAAAATGCAGGTTGTGTTGAAGTATAATGCAGCAATACATGGAAATACTCAAGTTAAGTACAAATATATAAAAAAGGTACTTGGGTACAATATTTGAGAAATGCACTTAGTTAGTTTCCACCACCGCCTGGGGGGGGGATTACATTTTTCTGCCTCCAGACACAATTTAGTTTTTTTAGTACAAAAACGTTGTGTTCAAACTGTTGAAGTCATGCTGTCCGTCTTCTGTGTTTCATTTGAGCAATATCCAAGAACATTTTCAGTTTTTTTGACCTGTAGTCACCATGTATTT